CGGCCCGTTCCCCCCCCCCTTCTCCTCCCGATCTTTGCTGGCCAGTCCCACTGCTCTGCTTCCAGCGGCCAGTTCTCCCCTCCTCCTTCCAATATCCTCCGGCCAGCCCCATTGCACCCAAACCCCCCGCCCCGCCAGCCCTGCTTCCAGCACTCGGTTCTCAACTTCCTCCTCCCGCTGCCCCCTGGCCAGTCCCGCTGCCCCCGACTCTCCCCTCCCGCCAGCCTTGCTTCCTGCCGGCCGGTTCCCCTGCCTGATCTCCCCTGGCCAACCTCACTGCCCCTTTACTCGTGGAGCAGTGAGGGTGGGAGTGGGGGTCACACAAATTCATTTAGAATTTTAGGGGGTTGCGGTATTACAAAGTTTGAGAACCCCTATAGTACGGGGCTTAAACGACTTGCAAATTTTACTGGCATCTGTAAAGTGCCCCTCGCCCAAGCACTTTAAACAGTCTTTATGCGGGTCACAGGCTTAGAATAACGCAGACATGGTTTGAAGCCAAGCAGCCCTGGCATACCCTCCCCCGTAACAGGGGGGAGGTGAGAACTACCTAAACACACTCTAACTATACAAAACAAAGAACAGACACTAACTACAAAGAGTACTGTTTACACTAAGAGAAAAAACACCAAGGGCAGTCTCACAGAGGAAGACAAGAGTTTCAGTGGACTGTCACAGGTGGTAAGAAGGAACTGAGGGGGGTTGGAGCCAGCAGGAGTATATATGCGCGGCGATAGTGGTGCCACTGTAGGGGGCTCCCGAGGCTGGCCCAACGGGTACTGCTAAGGGTAAAAAAATTCTGGGAGTCATGCACACGGCACACATGCACCTCGTCAAATGGACATAAGCAAGCACTCGTAGAAGAAAATGTGTTTAGCAAAGCAAAGAAACATTTGTTCTTCATTCATTAGTACATCTTCTGATCTGCTTCTTTGCCCATTCTAGTAATTTACAGCATAAGTTGTGTGTGTTGCATTGAGACAGTCAAAGCTGTACAGGGACACTGCCATGGGTCAAAGAAATAAAACAAGTCCATGTATCAGATGCTCTGTCTCTCTCTCTAGAATCTCTCTAAAACCAAAACTGGTGAGGAAAGTTTTGGGGAGGATTCCACATCCCTATACGTCATACTTAGGGATGATAGAGGTATTACCAGATATCAAGGCAAAATGGGGTGCTGGAGGTCAAGACAAAGCTCCAGCAAACATCTCAAGCACGGAAGCTGTTGGAACCTACATAAGCGAAGCATTCCTTGGCCACTGTGCTGGTCTTCCAACCATTGCCCTTCATAGATGGATCCATCCTGGTAGTACATTCTGCCCCAGCCGCTTCTTTTCCCTCTACTCCATTCCCCTTCGTAATATTCCATGTCCGAGTAAAACTTAATTCCATAGCCCTAAAATTACAAGGTTACAGTTCTTAATTTAACATTCTCTGCATTAAAAACAGGTAACGCTGAGTCTGGATTCATGGGTTCTGTTCTCTGAACGAGGGATGTTAAATTGCAAGTAACTGACTATTCAATTAGTCAATAAGGTGCCTTCACCTTTGAAGGCTGTTGCTACACTTCAAAGGCAAAAGAGCCGCGTGGAGCCCAGGGTCAGCTAGGGATTCCCCCATTAACCCTGTGCGCTGCCACTTTGAAACACCATGGGGAGTCCAGCATCAGGCTGCATGTGGCATTTCAAAGCAGCAGCACCACGTGGAACCCAGGATCTGGCCCCAGGCTCCACGCAGCGCTTTTGCTTTGAAGTACCCCTTCTCTTCCCCCCCACCCTTTGCTGCCTCTTTCTGGTAGAGGCAGCAAGGGGGAGGAAGCATCTAGTCAACTAGCCTGTCAACGAGTCCTTCACATCCCAACTCTGAACTGCTACTAATTGGCTCGTTAGCACTTGTGTGCATTATTAATAGCATCCAGACTCAGAAGCTACTCAAAACAGTGTAAATATGTTATTTAGAAAACGCACCAACCCCAAGATAGGAGGAGAGACAGTCTCCAAAACAAATGTAGGTTTGGCTAAGTCTAGTGTATTGTCATTTTAGAATTGCAGAAATCAGAACAGGAAACAACCTCATCCTGACCGTGAAGGCCTTTGGCCAATTACCTTTCTTAATCCCAAACAACAGACCTCTGACTCTTAGGAGACTAAGGATCTCTAATTGATACTAAATCCATGGAAAGGTCCTATTGTCAGGACATTTTCCTGATATTCAGCCTATCTTTTTTTTTAATTTCATCCCTTTTTTCAGTTTTATATCTTCCCTCCATACCTCAACATCCTTATGAATCTCTGCAGAGTCTAGGATCCTATTTATAATGCCCATTCGCAGATACACCCCTGGTTGCATAGCTTATCTTTCTGTCAAAAAGTCACATAAATCCACAAAATGGTTCCTTCTGCTCCTGAGTTTCTCTGCCCATCATTTTGTTTCCTGTCGCTTCTTTGTTCTGGGGTCCCATGGGGGTTCTCTCTGTATGTATAAGTTTCAATGATATTCCTGTGCCTCTCCTACACTGCTGTACATAAAAAGATGGAGCAGTGATGTGAAATCTTTCCAGAAGGAGACATCAGAAAAGCCAAGAGCAAATGCTCCCCTCCCTGGATTTTCTCTCAGGGCTTGTCTATACGAGGAAACTCAGGAAAATTAAGACTAATTACCTATTGATGTAACATTAACATGCATCAAACTGCTCAGTGGATGCTCTCATTCACAAGTGAAGCAGCTTCAGTTCACTTTATCTTAATACCCTAAAATAAAGCTAATTAACTCCAATTTACTTCTAAATGAGGAACACCCACAAGTGTTTTAAATTCACTAGTGGTGTGAAGGTATCTTAACTTTCCTGAGACTCCTCCAGTGTTCCCTCTAGGCTGCAGGTCAGTGCAGGTTCACAGGTGTCTCAGAGGCTCAGGGCTCCCAGCATGGGGCTGATTCATCACCTGTGAAACTCTGCTGTTGCCACAGAGCTTAGAGGGAACACTGGTCTCCTCATGTAGGTAGATAAGCCTTCAACTTTGAGGTGGGGTGGGATCCTCCACTAGGCACCCTCAACAAGAGAAATGGAAGAGTAAGTTATTCCTCTCGTGCAGTCCAGCCTCCCTGCTTTCTTTTCTGTTCTGTTAATGCAACCAAAAACAACAGCAACAGAAGCATTTCCACTGTTAAGAAAGGAGACCACTGGTTGGAGAAAACTAGGGATGTCAATAAGTAGACAACTACACGATTAACCAATAAGTTTGGGCTTATCTGTTTATCCTGTTGACCACACACATTCCCTCTTTGTTAGAGGCAGCAAAGGGGGAGGAAGGGGAGGCAGGAGCCAGTGCCTGTGGGGACATGTCTTTAAGCGGCTCTCAAGAGCACAGGATCCACCGGTCCCCACCCATCCATGTGCTGCTGCCTCTGATAGACAGGCAGCAGTGCAGGCAGGTGTCGATATGCACAGGGAGCTTGCTTTTGGCTAGCTCTCAGCGTGTGCTGGCTCCACGAACATGCTTGCCCCCTCTTGCTGCCTTCCACAGAAGCAGGGCGGGGGCAGGCAGGGGCCGCCCGGCTCCCCCCACGCTGCTGT